CCAGATGCCTGTCATTATCCCGGAAGCAATCGGGCCCGGTCGACGTATGGCTTCGTACATAAAATGTGATTAAGACGAGAAGAGTGACACTGGATCACATGACATTTGGATTGAAGATCACAACAAACAAAATACGCCTTTGGTCGGCCTTATAATCAGTCGGACATTTTCACATGACTATAATCGCTGTGACGTCACAATTAATGCCAAAATGTATTCGTATATAAAGCCTCATGCGCGCACTCCAGAAGATCCAGTAGCCATCTGATCGACATCAAGAGCGTTTTACTTTGTGCGTACGTTATTTCCCCTCCACAACACAAGGTAAGTATACAAACAAGGTGGGTCCACTGCGTGTACTCTGTTGGTAATGTCGGAACCACCAATGGCCTCCTCTACAGCCCTCACTTTGAAGCGACACGTTATAATACAATCTAGTGCCAGTGTTCCAATTATAATTGGACGTTAATCACATTACATGTACACAAAATAGGGTATGCTGAATTCTAAGGTCTAATTTATAATGCGCCGGTTTTACCATTTATTCATGATTTAAGATGTCACAAATGAATTGTTGACCTCACAAATTTGAATTTGTGATATAAAATAATATCATGAAATAATTGTTGATGAAATGAAATGAAATTTTAATAGCTTAAAATGAATTTTATGACATCTCTAAGTCGAATTTGTGATATCTAAAGTCTTAAGTATTTTATGATACCATGAATAAAATGTTGTCATATCAATAATTCAATTGTATATATCTTATTTGGGATATCAATTATCAATTTTATGATGTCGTAAAATGATTATTATTTTTAGATATTAATAAATTGAATTTTTATAGTATTTGTCCTCTTGTCCACAATAACTGCTCCTTGATCTTTTCGACCATTCACTGCTGCACTGTGAAAATGGCGGATATCAGATATTATGTTGGACATGGATTCCGCGTATCCTCCCATTACGCAGAGAGACAGTTCCTAGACGCCTTTGAAAACAACATTTACGGTTCAACGAACAGATTAGCTACTTCCTGTTACATACACATTATAATGGAATAGTCCAAATAAGAAACACAAGCCAATGCCTGATGCTATTATTCATGACAAACCTGTTTTTAATATTCAATAGTAATTGATAGCCTTCACTGATGACAAAGATACTTTTTTTCAGATTAAACGGTCAACGGTTTACAGGTCGATCCTTTATTGCGGGATAGTGAGGTATTTCAGGCCACGGCTCAACAATACAAATGCATGTTCATACCTGGGTATCCATCATATTAGGAGATATCCTTTGGCATCTTTTAAAGAATTCATTGAACAAGGTCAGGAAAGCTGAAGTCGTTCGTATGGTTCACGTGTAGTTTAACGCTGCAATTGCAGTAGTCTGTCTAACAGTCCCTGAAGCACATTATTTTCACTACTGCCTAGCCCTCTTCGTAGTGCTAAAGCCCTAAATGAAGAAGCAAGTCTAGATTTCCTCAGGAATCTCTGGCTGTTGCCAAGTAGGAGTGAAGTACAATCTGTTTTAAAACTGTATTTCACTCTAAATTAATCAAACTTAATTGGTTCAATTTTATAACAATATATACTCTTCAAAAAAAAGAAACTTGACTTGCTGCTTTGGAGTTTACTTACTGAGTGCATATAACTGATTCAAGCATGACGTCATTGCTCAGTAACAGTAAAATCATCACTTTACAAATTCCAAAACATGAGTATCCAGAAGGTGTTTGGTAAAAACACAGAGGGCTATTAAAGCCACTTGGTCAGAGCAAAATGTCAGTATCTGGTGTGACAACCATGAGCATCGATAACAGCTTGGCAGCGGTGACCCATAGAAGAAAGGAGATGCCGAATGCTGTCTTGATGAATGTTTTGATACACTTGCTGAAGTGCTGCGTGCAGTTCTTGTAGTGTCTGAGGTGGCGGATTACGCTGGCGCAAGTGTCGATCAAGAGTATCCCATAGATATTCAGTGGGGGACAAATCCGGTGATCGAGAAGGCAAAGGTAACAACTGAACATTGTTTTGCTGGAGGAAGTCCTATCAAACACGTGCAACGTGAGGTCGAGCATTGTCATGCTCCAAAGATCACGTTGATGTAGGGAACGACGTGACGTTGAACTGGTCTTCTGGCAAAATGTCTGGCTTTCCATAGCCAATTGCGCACTGTCTGGTCGGAGATTTGGAGTAGTCCAGGGATTTGGATTGTTGTGGATGATGCGGCCGTGGTGTTTGAACGAAAATGTCTCAACCGGATGTAGCGATCCTGGGTGGCGGTGATACATGCAGAAGAGCGGGAGGAGGGCCATCTTCTGCTGTTAATCTCGGCATTGTAGTGAATGTATGGTGTGAAATGATAAATCTAGGGGCCTTATATACCCGTTTCCAACAGGTTTCACGTGCATTTCATGCAAGGTGAAGTTACAATGGGTACGTTTTGGCGTTATGCTTCCTTATACAAGGATAGAAATAGGCAAGAGTCTGATGTTTTGACTCAATAGAGTTACATGATTGGTTGTTAAAACATACCAAAACTAAAGTCTTCTATCCATATAACATTTTAGGACATTCTAATGTTCAGAGGTGTAACATTTCTTTTGGCGTTCAGTTTATATAACGGTCTTCTCAGTTAATGTGGGGCGGTGGGGAAGCCTAGCAGTTAAAGGGTTCGCTCGTCACGACGAAGGCCCTGCCTTGGTCCGATACCCCACATGGGTACAATGTGTGAAGCTCATTTCTCGTGTCCGGCGCTTGGATACTGCAGGAATATTTTTATAGTGGCGTAACCTAATTCACTCACTCACTCTAGCTTAATGTAGAGTTATAACCAACAAAGAAAATGTAATACTACAGGTAAAGATGGCGGGTCTACTTCTTAAGATCTGGCTTTGAAGTATGTAAGTCATGTTATGATCATGAACATTTCAGTAAGACATCTGAAAACATGTTTAAAAACTTAATTCCTATATGTGTTTCTTTTCACCAGGGAAACATGAAGATGTTTTCTTTCTTTTCACTGTCCATTGTGGTTGCGATCCTGATGTGTGAGGTCATCGTCGAAACCGAGGCTCAAGGGAGGATCAGCTGAAACGCCGGGTCCGAAATGGTAGAGTTCTGCACCAGTTGCCTATCACACACAATGTGTGCAAGGAAATCTGATGCGGCAGGAAACTGCTCCTTTGAATGTGCAATATCCGAGATCGTCTAGTGAATTCAGTCCTGTCGTAAGGTGGTCTCACCCTGTCGTAATGTGGTCCCACTGTGTATATTACCACCTGCTCTTTGGTATTATGTGGTTGGTGTAGACTTGACATGGACACTTGACTTTATTCCAAAATAAATTCTGCACAGCAAAATTTTTGGGTTTTGTGTTCCTTTAAAAGCGGTGGTGGTGGTGGTGGTGGTGTGTGTGTGTATGTGCGCGCGCGCTTTCATAGAAGGTTTGTGACTTATTTAACGGACAATCAGCACATGGAGTCACCGCTGATCCCATGTTCGTGTAAACTGTGCTTTGTACTCTTCGTTCTCAATTCGACCCAGGTAACAGGCGTTGTGATAAGAGTCCGATGTGAAACTGAGACATTGTGTAATCTGTGTGTAGTCATTAGCTGTTAGATTGAGTTACGTTGTACATATGGTTTCAGCTGAGAATCAGAGAGATGTTTGCCTAACACGAAACACATTATTGTGTTAAATAAATATCTAGGCTAAATGTTTTGGACTGCGTAATAGGCTGTTGCTTTCGTTCAGTGGCAAACACTCTAATAGTTTTATGTTCAATGGGTTTGAGAGAAATTGTTCTGCATATGAAGTTTACATTACATATGATCCGGGTTAGGAGTTTACATAACATCAGATCCTGGTTAGAATTGATCTTCAGTAAAACATGCTTCTCATAACAGGCGACTAACCGGATCGGGTGGTCAGGCTCGCTGACTTGGTTGACACATGTTATCGCATCCCAATTGTGTAGAACGATGCTCATGCTGTTGATCACTGGATTGTCTGGACCAGATTAAATTATTTACAGACCGCCGCCATATAGCTGGAATATTGCTGAGTGCGGCATAAAACTAAACTCACTCACTCACTGAATCTCAGCATCGTCCACATCATAACGCCGTCTATTTGGTAGTCTGGATAGTACAAAGGAGGCTAGAGGCGTAGCTAACATGTAGCACTTTGAAATTCAATAAAAGCATTTATAAGAAATATATTGAGGTTCTTGTTAAATGTTTCACTATTTTATTGGTGACAGTCGTTAGAACGCACTGTTCTTCGCGGAAACCGATTTTATCCCACGATGACTAATACAATGTTTATAGAAGTGTAAATAAATGTTCATATTTAGTTGTGTGGCATTAGCGTCATTTGCTTGTGTCAGACCAAACACTTACGCGATATTGTCAAATTGTTAAAATCTATTTGCATCAAAATACAAGTATTTTAACAAATTAACGTTAAGGAAATTACAGTTAATATAGATAACAAATGACGTTAAATTATCAGTCATTTGGTCTCCTTCTAAAACGTTTAAAAGGGAGAACTGTAAAGAAATTGATTCCTTTTTTGTAACATTGCAGTCAAAAACAGAGGTTCCATCTGCTTTTAAGCCAACACGAATTCCAATAAGTGTTCTTCACTGGCATCAGATTCACCGAAACTTTCTTACAGTTTCTCTGGTACTGATATTGGCTTGTACACAGAAAGTGAAGAAAAATCAGAACAAATTCGTTCTACTCTTCTTAAACATTTACATTCAACAGATGTAAGGGCTGACCAAACACTAAAATATCCTTAAATGGAAATTAGAGGTGTAAAACGGAAATTTAATCCAACACATCAAGATAACAATGATTGGCTGAAATATTCTCCGTCAAAAGATTGCGTCATTTACTTCCCATGTGCTCTTTTCGCAAATGACAATCAAAAAGGCGCATTTGTTACATCGTACGTTCATGATTGGGCAAATATCGGGACACTTATTAAGTGACATACCAAACCTGATTCCCATCACTTTTTGCCAACTTTCTAATACGGACAATGAAGCCGTTGAAAGAAATCGTTCAATTCTCATAACACTAGCTGAGACACTCAATTTGCGCGGGAGACAGAATATTGCTATTAGAAGTCATGATGCTGAGAAAAGCAATTTTGTAGCCCCTTTGCATTATCGTGCAAAGCACGATGAGTTATTGAACAGTCATCTGTAAAACAGCAAAATTAGAAACAAATATTTATCACCAGCCATTTAAAATGAGCTTCTTGATATTTGTTCACCACGCATTGGAAACCAGTTGGTTAATGACTGCTATTCACAGAAATGTTTTTCTCTCATTGCTGACGAGGCAACAGATTCCTCAACCAGAGAACAAATTTCTATCCCTGTTCGACACATTTCATTGAACGACCAGAGTCGAACTATACTCAAGGAATCATATTTAGGTTTCATTGAGTCTGACAGTACAAAGGCAGCTGCCTTAGCGGAATCATTCCTGTCAGAATTAGACAAGTGTGGGGTTACGAAATGCTATATAAAGGGTCAAGGTTATAATGGTGCCTCAAGCATGAGTGGGTATTTGAATGATGTACAAGCCATCATAAGACATTAATATCCTGAAGCATTCTTTGTTCACGGTAATCTCTGTTTGAATCTGGCCTTGGTTCATAGCTGTTCCATAACATCAGTCAACATTATTATGTCAACAGTTCAAAGCATTGCCTTTTCGTATTCGGCAAAACGTCTCTTAGAATACACTAAGGAACTGGAATCAAATGAGAATGCTCAGGAAGCAACGGAGCAAAAGCGAGAGATTACTGAACTCTGTGAAACACGTTGGGCAAGTCGTGGAGGTTCGCTGTCCACTGTCAAAGCATCATTTGATGTCGTCCTTTGCTGGATCATATAACTCAGCAATAGAGGACAGGCTTCTGGATTATCTGTCCCACTGGCCGATTCGAAGGTCAGAATTTTGTACCTACCTCGGTCCATAATATGACCGAGGAAATGGGTAGGCGAAGATTCGCACAGTTCACTGAGCTGAAAGAGAACTCACATGAGCAACAAACGGTAGAAATCAGGCGATGGCAATCACGTTGGCAAGTTGTTCCAGCAGAGGAGAAACCATCGTGTTTGTTGGCAACACTGGGCTTCGGAAAAGAAGATCTTTATCCAAATATCCATGTTGCCCTCAACACATTTGTGACAATGCCAGTGTCTTCGGCAACTGCTGAGCGTTCCTTCAGTGCAATCACACGTGTTAAAACGTATCTCAGGCCAACATTGGTAACGGAACGGCTTAATGCACTTACACTTCTTCATATTCACAGCGATTTTGATGTCAACTTTGATATTGTGGTGGATGATTTCGCATAAGGGAAAAACCGCAAAATAGCACTTCTCTTCAGGTAGAGCTGATGCATACAGTAACTTTAAGCTGTGCTTACAACTGAAATTTTCCTGGAGGCAACGTGAAGATGTCTACTGAGTGAGTTGGATTTAAGGCCGCTTTTCCAGTACTCCTGATACATCATCAAATGTCTGCTTAAAGTGGTGGGAGGAAATCCCGAAGTGATGAATGTCGCAGACATTGGTTTGGGTGTGCCCATAGGGTACTTTAGGAATGAATAATGAATGCAAGCTCTTCCCCCATTTAATGAACAGACATTTGGTAAACTTGAGGAAAATAGAAATGCAGGCTTATCCTCCTTTTAATAAGGAACGTATTGAACTTTAGGGAAAATAACAAATAAAGCTTTTCCCCGACAGAACAGTCCTGCCGCTTCCACGTTTTCTATCCCGGTAAGTAATCGAGTCCAGTCGGTTAATTTGTACTGTACATTAAGCCATGGAGCGGCTAAGATCAAGTTTCCATACGAATTGTGCATTTGATGATAAAAGCACCAAAGGTGGTCATCATATAATAAAAACATGTCTGAAATAAGTTCAGATATGGTGTCATCTCAAAGTTTGCGCTTGTGCGCATGCGAAGTACATAAACTATGACATACTATTTTCAACGTTTTCCCTTAAATATTAAGTATAGCCAATCAATAAACACCTATACTTTTTCACCTAAACACATATAGTCATTTGCAGTTACATGCAAAGACAAAATATACATAATTTTAAAATGATAGAAAACAATAAGAACTCCCTCTTCCCAAAATAGCGAAAAATGAAATTATTTTGAGTGCCTCCATATACTAAAATGTTCGTGTATGAATGTGCGAAATTTCATGCTTTCATCATTCAATGCACATTTTATGTGTTGAGTCGCTCCATTAGTATAGCCGAGCGGCGTTGACAGCGAGAGATCACAAGACGTGCGCTTGTAAAATGTCAACAACTGAAGAAACGTTGTGGTTGGCCTCAGAATCAGTCGGTCATCTTCGACTTTTCCCGGGACTCATCGCCATGACGTCACGATTAACGCCCACAGCGCGTGCCATATATAAGCTTCTGCATTTCGACGTGGAGCAAAACACGCTCGAACCAGATCGACATCAAAAGCGTTCTTCGTAATAGCGTAAGTAGTATGTTGTTTCTCTTTCACTCGGCATGCAAACTCAAGGGGTCCACTGTCTGTTCTTTGTGTGTGACCAACCCAACTTTAAGTCAATGCTTAGAATCGGAGCTTCATTGTATCATTGCACTTCCCCTTCATGCCATTCAGACATGCAAATGCCAATGTTGACATTTCTAAAGACCCATATGTCAAATGTATAGCAGGGCAGTATCACGAGTGAGGAGACGATGTGGTCCACGTCACACAAACAGCGTTGCCGGTAGTGGCATGTGATGTGGCGTAATGCTGACAAATAAATGCAACGCTATTCAGTACGACAAAAGGTGAACGGTAATCTCTGATTTGTGCATGTAAATGTAATGATTCAGAAATCCTTATCGAAGGGCTGAGAGATGCGTTGCTATTTAATCCGACACTGTTTTTTCCCTATCTTAAACAAAGTTATTTACCTGAAGTATTCACACATCCATAATTGTGGGTACTTACTTTTTTAAGTTACTTTTTTTGTCGTTTTAGGCTATCAATAATGCACATACATGTTATAGGACATCATCACAACTGGAACCTTTATTCAGATCTTTGGACATTCCAAAGTGATTATTCTCTGGTGTTGATGTTTTTGAAAATCATCTCAGTCTCTTTTGCTCCCTGAAGAGAAACGCAGTACAAAATTGAACAAGATTAATTGTTTGTTGTTTAAAGCCGCACTCAGCAATATACAACTATAAACTATAGTCTGTAAATAACCGAGTCTGGACCAGACAATCCAGTGATCAACATCATGAACATCGATCGACGCAACTGGGATACGGTGATATCTGTCAACCAAGTCAGTTAATCTGACCATCCGATCCCGTTAGTCGCCTCTTACGACATGCACGGGTTACTGAAGATCAATTCTAACCCGGATCATCACGGGTATCTCCCTTCATTGATGGTTTTCCTCTGGCACTAACAGCAGTAAGCAGTAAATAGTTCATCATGCCCAGTGTGTAGGTTGGAATTTCAGTACACCTGTGTTGGGATTTTAATATGGGGAATTCAATGACCTGGCACATAGAGAAAGTACAGACCAAATATACTGAACAATAACAGAAACACACTTTGAGAAATGGATTCTATTGAAGATAGGTAGTACAAGATAGGTAGTACAAGATAGGTCGTACAAGATAGGTAGTACAAGATTGGTAGTACAAGATAGGTTAATGTGGCAGGGCTAACCTGGCGAATCAGCCCGTTCCATCTGTGATGAACCACGCGGGGCGCATGCTGCACGCTCTTTATATGGCCATTATCACATGTACTTTGTTGAAAGAAAGACGGGTACATTTTAATCCTTGAATCCCTCTCATACCAAGGCAACTCCAGTGCGCGAATGACCATAACTGTGAAAGCCTACTAACAGGGCGTTTGGGCTGAAGAATAAATTGTGCAATGAAAGTCGACAGACCTGATGTCTGTATTACGGTTATTCCGGGAAAGCAGAGTTGTCACTGCCATATGTTTGAATGGTTTGCGCAGACTGTTATAAAAACAGCATGATGTATTTTCATTTTAACTTGGCATCCTTTTGGAGAAGGTGTGTACCTTCTTTCCTGCGGGTAAAATTTTAGTAATGCGCATATTTGTTACATGGTTACTCAAACAACAGATCCATTTAAAGAAACAAATTCTCTGTATATTTACTTTTTTAACAGGCAAACATGAGGGGATTTGCTTTCGTTGCACTCATCATTGTGGCTGCGGGGTGCTTGGTGAGTGACGTCATGGCCCAGTCCCCAACAGAAATCAGCTGCTCCGCCTCTTTCCAGGCGAAAATTCAATTTGCTCGGCGGTGCAGATCTGAAGGAAAACGGATTTTCTATGCCGGAGATGGAATGCCAGGGAACTGCTTCTACGTGTGCAGAAACGAATAGCCCTATCAGGACTTCTCGTAGATGTCATCATCGGAGAGTGGTCTCACCTTGAAGTCATGATTATTCAGAATATTCAGGTCAATAAATACTGCACAGCTTATATCGTGTGTCCGTGGTTGCAGAAGTGTATGTATGCTCTTTTTGTTGCATCACAATAATCAAATGTAGAATCCTATATTACGGCCGCATGCATAACTTGCCGAACCCGACCCTCTCAGCACATACAAGCACAGCCCCACCAAAGCCCAACACAGATTGTTATTCATCTCACGGCGGGAGGAAAGACTGAATAGATGCAGATCCCAGACGCGTACCCCTCGCCACAACACGGAGCTGACAAACCAACACACAGTCTAGGCATCAAAACACGGAGCTGACAAACCAAGACACAGTCTATGACACAAAACACTGAGCTGACAAACCAAGACACAATCTAGGCCACAAAACACGTAGCTGACAAACCAAGACAAAGTATAGGCCACAAAACACGGAGCTGACAAACCAAGACACAGTCTAGGCCACAAACACGGAGCTGACAAACCACGACACAGCCTAGGCCACAAAACACACAGCTGACAAACCAAGACACAATCAAGGCCACAAAACACGGAGTTGACAAACCAAGACACATTCTAGGCAACAAAACCCTGAGCTGACAAACCAAAGACACAATCTAGGCAACAAAACACGGAGCTGACAAAAACCAATACAAAGTATAGGCCACAAAACATGGGGCTGACAAACCAAGACACAGTCTTGTTCTCAAAACTGGAAGCTGACAAACCAAGACACACTCTAGGCAACAAAACACGGAGCTGACAAACCAACACACAATCTAGGCCACAAAACACGGAGCTGACAAACCAAGACACAATCTAGGCCACAAACATGGAGTTGTCAAACCAAGACACAGTCTAGGCAACAAAACACGGAGCTGACAAACCAAAACACAGTCTAGGCCACAAAACACACAGCTTGTTTATACATCAATGCAAGCGTTTCAAGATTGTAGACCCTTGCACAGCAAAGGGAGGAGACTCTACAGAAGTATTTTGATTAGTCTCTCCGGATTGCTCTTTCAGAAGGCAATCACTGCGACTTCAGTCTCAATGCCTGACAGCTGCTTCAGAAGTCTTACTTGAATGAATGTGTAAGTAGCTGTGGCGCCTCATCTTAGTTATGTGGCTTGACATTACTATAAGTGAGTGAGTGAGGTTAGTTTTAAGCTGCTTTGGGTATTATTCCAGCCATATTACGGACACCAGAAATGGGATTCACACATTGCACACACGTGAGGAATTGAAAACCTCGGGCCTTGTGACGAGCGAACCTTTTAACCACTAGGCTACTTCACCGCCCCGTTTACTGAAAATACAACCAAACAAACTGAAGTAGTAACAAATTGGTTCCAGTACACAAAACAGTTATTCTCAACCAAGGTTTCTATAAGTCACTGTGAACAACATTTTACTTGTCTGAACAGTTTAAAGTGGAAGGGAAGCCGGCGTTAGTCTGACTACATTTACATTTCCCTACATCCAACCAGACTGTTGTATTATTGATGTCAACAAGCTGTGAGTAAAGTCTTACGCCACTTTCACCACGACATTCAACAAAATAAAGACTGGGAACCCCAAACAGGCTTCAAATACTGTGTCTGTGATGACAACCAACCCCGTGCGTACATCGTGACAGGCAAAGGCATTCATCACCACTCGCCCCTTTCCGTAAGCAGACCAGAAGGTCCATCATTGTATGCTAAATACCACAGACCAGTCAGGGTTTTTTTTTGTTGTTTAACGCCACACTCAGCAATATTCCAACTATATGTCTGCGGTCTGTAAATAATCGAGTCTGGACCAAACAATCCGGTGATCAACAACATTAGCACCGATCTACATAAACGGGATGTGATGACATGTGTCAACCAAGTCGGCGAGCCTGACCAGCTGATCCCGTTAGTCGCCTCTTACAAGCATGGTTTGCTGAAGGTCAATTCTAACCCGGATCTTGAACGTGAACTGAAGTACCTTGATAGGCACAACACTGTACTCGAACTTATTATGGCAATGTATAACCACTAGGCTACCTTCCCACCCCGCCCTGCTTTAATACCATGTATCTCAACAGCCATCCCGATGAACACAGCATCACAGGTGACACTCAGTGGCTTTATTGCTGAGCTGATGGATGTACAAGTTTCATGAATGTAAACAATTCAGTTCACTATCATGATGTGGTTCTCCAAATAGCACTACACTGCATCAAATGTATACTTCAAACTTAAGTAGTACTCTTCATGCAAATGGACCCTGTTTCGTTGATTCAATTCTTGCATAAACAACAACAATGTTCTTTGGTAACAATTACAGCAGAATTCACCCAAATAATTTGAAACATACTGACAGTCCAGGGCCTCGTTTCTCAAAGCTCTCGTAAGCCTAAGATCTCGTAACTTTTCTCGAGGCATTCGTACCTCCTATGTTATAGTATAGGTGATTCGAATGCTACGAGAAACGTTACGAGATCTTAGGCTTACGAGAGCTTCGTGAAACGAGGCCCAGTTTCATAAAGAGGAACAAAACTTTACCGAAATTTGGTTTGGGGCTCATGTATAGGTCAATGGTAATCTTCAATAATAAATCAGTTGACCCAAAATGGCAATGTAAAGCACTGTTCATGGAGTCCAGCCCCTAACCTGTTTGAAGAACTTGCACTGGAGTACATTTGATTTACGAATGAAACAGCTTCATGATTCTATTGTACAAACATGGGGAGGACCCATGATGAGAGATTCAAATCAGGCTTCTGCTGCCTACTGTACACACGATAATGAAACTGCCTATGTGCTATGTGGATCAATTCTTGCGTGTGCGTTCGAACTGTTCGCTGATCGCCTCAAGGAAGTCCATGGTGTTCAGATAATGCTCAGGCTTGACACTGAAAGACAAAATCAGTAACATACAGTAAGCGAAGGCCCACTGAACGGTGCACAACATACTGTCCCATACCACACGAAAGATCGTGTACCTATCATACCCTTTCTTTAGTATGCTCATTATTCAGTCTCCCATTGATAAATATATACATCAAATACCAAACTGTAGATATTACAGATCAGTTGTCATCACCGAATACTGTCTATTTTATACACCATCAACTTTGCAGAAAATGCCGTGATTTATAAACCAGGATTGGTTTGTGTTTACATGTGTTTCATACGTGCGCTTCACTCATGTGAGTACCCCAAATACAATGAAACGAATTTATTTGGGAACATGATAAATTAGATCAGCTAAGACAAAATATTCTAGCGCTTTGTATAGCTGCTAGCGACGTCAAAAAAATCACTAGTAGAAAACGTGAAAATTCATGGCATGACGCAGAGTGCATGCAGAACACTTATAAAAAGTAAGATGTAGATATTTAAAGGAAATCGAAAGACTTACAACACCGCAGTAGGAATGCATACAATGCACTTTGCAGACAAAAGCGAAATGTATATTTTCAGATAAAACGAAAGGTCTTCAGCGATCCAAGCTTGCTGTAAAAGGTGACTAACAAGGTCGGGCGGCCAGGCTCGTTGACTTGGTTGACATATGTCATTGACGCTCATGATGTCAGTCACTGAAGTATTGGTTCTGTCTCGATTATTTACAGCATGAAAGATTGCTGGGTGTGGAGTTAACAAACAACAACACAGAACAGGGGTTAGCTAACGTCCAACAGAATAGCCGACTATACTTTGATTGATTGCTCACTGTTGCCTTATCAAATGAGTTGTTTAAAACAAGAACATCATGTTTTTGTAACTGTCAATGCGTTGATGTGTGATCTGGGGAACTAGCCCATAATTAAGAGAAGAAGTGTGCGTTGACGAAGACGAAGGCATAGTTGATTTCAAACTTCTTTTCTTCTTCCACAAGACATGGCAAACAGGTATACAAGACAGAAATGAGCTGGCTTGCCGGCTCAGACATAAATGAGGTATGCGGATTTCCTGCTCAACCCCAGGGCGTTTCCGGCGTTAAGAATGCAGATTCACTAGATTATTTCAATTCGCAGTGAATACACACGTAATTCCTTCGGTTTGGAAAACATAAGAAATTGTACCAGTTCCTAAAAAGACACAACCTAATGAAATCAACGACTACAGGCCAGTTGCTCTCACATCTGTAGCAAAGAAGTCGCTGGAACGCATCTTGTTGAGACATCTCCGACAGGAAGTTGCCAACATACTGGACCCGCTTCAGTTCGCCTACAGGTCAAGCAGAGGAGTTGTTGATGCCACACTGTCACTCCTTAATAATGTCTATAAACATCTAGAGAAACCTAAGTCATACATCAGGATCCTTTTCGTTGACTTTTCATCTGCGTTCAACACCATCCAGCCACATATCATGACACAGAAACTGTTAGACATGGGCGATAATTCATACCTCATCAAGTGGATCTAAAACTTTCTTGTGAACAGAGAGCAGTACGTAAGACGACTCCTTCAGCAGCAAGCAAGCATAGACGTCCTGTTCCAAAAAGGCAAATCCATCCAGAACCTCCTCCAAGCCACAGGCAAACCACAGTCAACAACAAAAGATGACCCCTCGGGAGTAGTCTACCAGATTCGTTGTCAATGCGGAGACCTCTATATTGGTGAAACATCCCGCCCGCTCCCACTACGAATCAAGGAACATAAAGCGTCAGTCCAGAAAAACGACTCCAAATCCGCCATAGCTGACCACACCCAAGCCAATCCTGACCATGCCATCCTATGGAACAACATCGATATCCTAGAAATTAACCGACAAGACTACAAAATTAGGAAACTCCTTGAAGCCATAAACATCCAACGCCACAACCCCACCATGAATCGAGATCAAGGTTATTTCATCTCGTCAGCCTATCACCACCTAATCAAACACCACCACCAGTAATCCTTCCCTACCTCCGTTGTCCATCTGGCTTCCATGCTCCCTCCTTTGTGCTTGTAATCACAACTATTGTACGTCAACTCATCAATTGTATAAACTCAACTCTAATCACAATCAATCACTCTGTACATCAACCTCCTCTGCTGTAATCACTTATTAAATATCCAATGTA